TAGCTAAGATTACAGCCTTAAGCCGCTGGTAGGGGCTCATTTAGAACGTGTGTGGGCGGGGAGGGGAGGCACTGAACCTTGAACTGAGGACTTAGCACTTCTTAGGCCAATACCTGTCATTTGAGCTATGCCTCATGTTTTAAAATGTTTTACTTCTAATCATTTTAGGGAGAAGCTTTTGCCACAATGAAAATCTGTGTGTTATTTACTGGTTACATTGGTCTCCATCTACTAGAGAGTCCAATTGTAGAGCATTTCAGGTTGCCTTATTTCCATGTGGTGTGTTTATTTTTTATTGTATTTGAACACTGTTCCCAGTTGGTAGACAAGTAATACCAAAACAAGTTTTTTTCTCTAGATATTAACAAAAAGTATTTTGGCCCAAGAGTCAACTGAAATTTCTTCACTTTGGAGGAAGCCAGTTTTATCTCCATTGGCATATTAATTTTAATATTCTTTGTGCCGCAATGTGTGCTTATTTCATTTGAGCATCACACCATCTCCTTCATCAGTAAAATTGCACACTAATTTTATGAATGAGAAAAGTCACATTTTCTGTATTTTTCAAACTAATAAGTGGTGCCCTTGAGATTTGCATTAATGTTGATATTTTATATTTTTAACCTGCAAATAGTTTCATTTCTAGAATCAAAACGTAGAATCATCATCAGCTCCCTTGATCCTTTATCACTGAACAAAGAGATGTATATATAATTAGTATTTTTAATAAAATTTGACTTGAATCACTCAAGGTTAAAGATAATATTTTATAGAAAAGTGTTAAACACATGTACACGTGTGGGAGCAGTTTGTACACTTATTCAATTATATTCCTTGTACATTCTATTGATTGCAAGTGTCTGAGGAGTCTCAATGGATCAGCCAGACTCATTAGTCTTTTAAAAAATGATATATAAAATGAAGATATATGTGATTATGACAAGATTCTTCATTTGTGAGGAGAGTGAGAGGTCTAAAACAGCCTGGAGATGTGTATCTGAAGCCAACTCTGTTGCATGCTTTGCATAAAGTCTTAGCTGTGTTGCAAAATCTGATTTACCTTCAAATCTTACACTTTCTGGGGCACTGGAAAATAAGTGTATAGCATATAAATAAATATATGCATGCATAAATAAAACAATTTATTTGTAGCTATGTAAACATAAATACACACATAAATGCTTTTGAAGTGGTAATGAGATCACAGTCCTTTTCCTAGTCTTAGGAAAGCTAATAGTAATAGAAACACACTAGGGGTATTTTTATATCCCATATTTGGCTCAGATACTCTACTCAATAGAACTGTAATCTCCAGCAAGTGACAAAATTTCTGTATCTCATTTTCATTATCAATATGTGACATTAATAGTATCTTTTACTTTAAGTTATTTAAAAGTGTTATGGAAGCCAAAGTAGTAATGTATGCCAAATTGTTTTGCTATAATAAGATACAAGATGGTAAAGTCTTGAAACTTGAGGGCTAACTCCAATGTTCCATCTGTCTCTGAGGTGGAACACATTGCTTGGTCTTAATTCCTAGAGACCACTGTTTTAGACTTAGGATAATGGTGAGTGAAAGTTCTAGGGAGTAGAAAGAAAAATATTTCTCTTTTTCTCTAGAAAGATTGAGAAGTACCTGTTCCATTGGTGGGCCATATTGTCCTCCATCTACTAGAAATATTAATTTCAATTTCTTTCTTCTGTAAATTTGGAACTTTTTGACAAAAAGTTCATGTGAATGTAAAAGCATGTACTTCTTTGGATGATGAGAGAAAGTTCATTCAGATTTTTCTTTTTCTTTTTTTTTTGTAGGTTGTGGGGCTTGAACTCTGGGCCTGGGCGCTGTCCCTCAGCTCTTCAACTATTTCTATAATTGCATTTAGGACAAAGGTGGAAAAGTCAAGATATAATGTGGCAGTGGAAAAATCAGATATGTTAGTGTGTTTTCAGTTTTTCCCCCAGGGGGGAATCAGTGTTTGGAAAAGAGGCATTTGATACATATAGCAGTACATTTGATACATATAGCAATAACACCCATATTTCAAAATAACTTCCTAAACCTAATTGGATCTTTTTTATGGTTGGTTGTTAGTTTGATCTTATCCCAGATTCTAACTTTTTTAGTTTACCATCACAAAGGTACAGGCTTGAGAGAGGAGTATAAATCATTCATCTGCAGTGGATTCATGTGCATATGATAGTAATTAGGGCTCTCAGCCAAATCATGAATGCAACATGTTTAAAATAAATTATATTTAAATATCTTGAGGAATGTCTACATTCTTCATTTTTTTATACCCAGCTCTCTTAAGAAATTATACTCCACCTACTTCTACAGGTATTTTAACTTCAGTTCCTTAAAGTGCAAGACCAGAATTTTATCATCAGTTTCTATTACTAACTCTGCTTCATTTCAGCTAGAAAAGTTTCTAAACAATTGTTTTAGGATAGAAATAGAGAGTTGGTCAAATCCTTTGGGAATCCCAAGAGAGGACAGATATAGTATAGAGTTCTTGGAAACTGTATCATCAAAAGTTTTCTGCTCGTAGAATTTTGAGTACCAAAAAACCGTGATCATAATGGATGTAATGGAGAAAAAAAATGAAGAGAAAGGCAGGGGCATGTTTAGTGATGATATCTTCATTCTCTTATACTAATAGAATTTCAAAATCAGTCAAATACATATTTTACTTGATAAACTGAGTTTATATTCACCTATTGGAAACAGTACAACATATTTTACATCAGATTATGAAATATGGATGTTTTACTAAAAGACGGGAAGGACTTTTTCCAGTCTTTAAAGTAAATACATATTCAAAGGATCTTAAGGCATACCATTTATTCATATTCATATCTATTGAAATACTGTACATCCACATACTTCAATAAATAGTTAAAAACCTGACCTCTTTTTTAATCATTTCTGGATTTCAAAAAAAACAATTTTTATTGAAAAGATTAAATAGGTAACTTTTTGCTGTGTCACAAAGCTAAGCACAATGGGTAAATTAACAATTATTCGGCAATTTGATCAGTATAGATGATTGACTTTGATAGTTCAGTTTTTCAGCGTTTTCTGACTTCACACATAGGGGTACTTATGTATATATATATATGTATATATTTTGTTCTGAATTATCTGGGTAATTTTCTTAGCTCTCCAGTCTACTTTCTAGATATAGCTTACATGTTACAATGTAGCATTAATTTTTCAGTGAAGTTGCAAATCCCCCAAAAGTGACTTTATGTTTGAAATTCTCCCTCTCAAATCTTAGTGTCTCAAAAAAGCATACAATATAGCTTGGGCAGTACTTTTCATTGTGTAATTGTTGCACAATAGGAACTTAATGGTGTAACTGGACTTACATTTCAAATAAGGTAATCAGAAAATATAATTACACCATTTGCTGTTAAACTGAGAATGCAAATGGGTAAGTTAACTACCCTTAATTCTCATTCTTCCTTCCCTCTAATCTTTTCTTCTCTCTTCCTTTTATTGTCCTTCCTGTATACCATTTTTTCTCTTCATTCTTCTTTCTCAACTGTTCTTTATTTCTCATCTTTGCAAAAAAAACTTTAGGGGCAACAAAAGGAATCCCACAAATGGAACTTGTGGAAAATATAATGCTGAATGAATAGCTAAAAACTCGTTATAGATCAAATAATAAATCAATTTATAAAACTGCTATTCTGAAATTGTAACAATCTTGTACAGTCAGGACTGATAAAATGGAATAATCAGACATTTCATATGTCCATAAATGTAAAATTATCTACTTGAACATTATATGCAATACATTCACACAAAAAAGCAAATACTGTAGCCTTATTTGAACAATATTGAACTCATAAATACTCATGATTTCACTCTGTCCAGGGGGGTCTAAGGACTAGGAATGCTGCTGTGATACAGAAAAACATAGTGAATACCTCCTCTATTTAAAAATGCCACTCAAGAAAGTCTCTTCTAACAGAAAGGCAAATACATATAGCTACTGAGCTATGACTGTACTTCTGTCACATCCTATGGAAAAACACCAGACCACAAATTCGGAATCATGACAACACTTTGAACTAATTATTTGGTTCATCCATAGTTTATACCTCAATTTACCTCACATTTACCCTACGAACCTTACAAAGAGGAGGTATTTTTATCTCTAGGAAAACAATCACTGTATAATATGCATTCTTGATCTGGTTCTTTCTCTCAAACAATGGTACAGATGGTTAACACTTTTGTGGTAGCACCACTATTTCTAGTAAGTAGATTATTATGGAGTGTGCCACTTTAAAGCTGCAATACAAAGAAAATATTTTGTAGTTTGCTCACCAATTCCACAAAGATCTTTTTTAAAAAAGCAAATAAATAATAAGTTTAAATGCCATATTTTAAAAAAACCCACTTTAATACATTAGTCAGTGTGTCATAAATTCTTTACAGCTAGTAAATTTAATAGTATTATGTCATATTATTGCCATTTTGTGGGAAGACTGTATATTTACATCCCCTCATTTATGATTTAGTTTTCTAATTAAAATATGTTTATGATTTACTTTGGATCTAAATTTATTTGAAAAAGGTAACAATTTTTACTTATCTCTCCGAGGACATAATTACTTATCGCATATATGTATGACCTCTGTAAAAATTCTTGTCATTGTTATGACTTGCAAAAGGTGACTATTGGTAGAAATCTAGGTGTGCTGAAATTGGCAACTTCATCAAACCTGTAAAATGGCTTTCAAGGCTATGGTCTTTCTTTGGTTAAAAAGTCAGACCATTGGCCTATTCCTGTAATATAAGAGTTAGACTAACAGCATTTTCCTTCAAAAATGTAGTTTTTGTTTTTTACATAGAAAAATGTAATACTCACAATAATTTAATAGGTAATGTATCTTAATGTATTCTCATTACTGATGTCCTGTTTTTAGTGGATCACATCTTACATATGTCATGTAAGAAGAAATAAAGCATGGTAAGTTTTTGGCTTCACTTTGAGCTGAAATGGCTATAAAAAGATTTTATTGAAGGATCAGTTACTTTGGGGATTGATCTGCTTCCTATTAACATAGAGTATGTGTTATAATACATTTTGGAACTTTATTTTACAAAATATAACGTGTATTTAAGACTATTAACTGAATGGTGTTTTCAGACAGAATATATGTAAAATGCTCCTGTCTTCAAGAGCACTCTGTCATCCTAACCTAACCTTAACAAAGCCAAATTCATGTGGAACCTTTACCAACTCATGTAGTATTAGGTGATTGGACTCTGTCCTTTCTGCCAAATCATCTTTACAATTTGGCGTGGAATGGTGAGAGAAAAGATGTTGTATTGCTAGATAACCTCTTGAGTAGACTGTGCTGTCATTTTAAAGGGAATTATTTCCCACAGAGGATCTAACATTTAATTTCAACTACAGAAATCATATGGTACATTTGCTGTCATGTTATTAAATTGTTTTTCATCATGAAAACTGAGTTATTGTGGGGCAAAATCCTCAAACCCCACTGGTAATGAAGCAATACGGTCTGATAGCTCCTTCGTTCTTTAGAGAGGATAAAGTTCAACTTTATCATTGTGGTTTATTTTTGCTTCCAAATTGTAGGATTTCTAAAACATTTTGAAGTCATTGGAGACAAAGAGAAAAATATTATTTTATGAAGGCACACCCATGCTGAAATTACAGGAAAGAGAAGCAGAGCTGCACAGCCAGTTATATTACAAGGCTCATTCCTGAAACCTGAATGTCATGCGAGCAGAAAAATCTAGATATGTGTTATATTTTGAAGAAATGATCTGAAGGCAATATTATTTGCTTTTTTATCAAAAAAGAAAAAAAAGAATGCATCTTTGTAAATGTGGATTGACTCTTATTGAAACAGGGAACTGAATACTTGTATTGCAGCCTTAAAGAATCACATATTCACTGCAATATTCGTTTTTTGTAAACTACAGCCTGCAACCTAGCAGACCATGACTGAATGCGTTTGAAAAGTTGTAGATTACAAACATGAAATCACAATTAATATCCTCTAAAAGTAATTTCAGAGCTTTCACGTCTTAAAAAAAGGACAATGTGTACTGCTTCACAAGGTAATGTAGCTAATCAAAAAAAAAAAAAGAGAGTAGAATTAAAGTATTTACATAATGAGCGATTCTACAGAAGGCGATCATCCCATGTAAGCACTGCTGATTACATCCCACGCTGCTTTTAACAAACTGTACCAGATTGGAACCAGCCATCAGCACTTTCAGAGAATCCTTAAAAGCCTTTTATGGGTCTTTAAATTTATTGTAGAATGGCATTCTTCAGGTAGAATATGCTGGTGAAAGAGGACAGTGTCAACACAAGGTACCAGCAGGAGAAAAGAACGTCAGCGCTCCCGGTAATTCCATACTGGGCTGTACTTGGAGCTGGAAAGAAATGGAAAAGATTAAATCAAAATCTAATTTGAGTCTTTCAGGATCTTAACAATAATCAAAAGGCAGCTGGTTGTACAGTTGAGTATTGGCTTTAGGGGTCAGACAGAATTAGGTTCGCATCTGATTTTGCTCTATGAGAATGTATGGCCTGTTGGATTAACGTCTCAGAGCTTTGGCTTTCTCATGACCACAATAGAAATAATGCAATAAGGCAGAACTGTCATAAGAATAGCCAATTAAGCATGAATACCCATTGCATGGGTCTAGCCCTGGGCTATTCAACAAACAGTTACTAACATTGGTATTCCTCTTATATGAATTGTAAATATTTGTATTCATTGACATATTTGCTCATACATATATTTTGAAATCTCTTTAATCAGATAGACATTTTATAAAATGTGAGGGGTGGAGAAAGAAATTCTTAATGCCTTTGTAGAAAACAATATTCAAAAAATCATAATAAAAACTATGAACATTAGAGTTGCACATGTAAATTGTAGTAAACCAGAAAATGAACATTTAAATCTGCCTGAGCAAGGGAGTAATGTTAAAAGTGCTGTACCCCGTGGTGCTGAGGCTCAAGTGGTAGAGCCCTCACCTTGAGCTGAAGAACTCAGGGACAGAATCCAGGCCCAGAGTTCAAGCCCCACTACCGACAAAAAAGTATTATACCTAAAAAAACTGTTATTTGGATAGAGAAAATAGCACATGAAAAGCTAGAGGAAAAGAGAGAGTGGATATAATTCAAGAATATAAAATTAGATTGGTCTTGCTTAACCATGAAGTTTGAGGCCAGAAGGGGAGAGGATTGAAAGTGGAGATCTAGGCAGGTGCATTGGCCTTGATTGTAATGGAAAGCATTTATATTTCTGTGCTGAAGGAAAATGTGCAGAATTTGAAGCAATTGAATGTGTAACTATATTTGTGTGTTAGAAATATCATGGTTTGATACATGTGGTACTTGGCTAAGAGTCATGCTGAATTTCCCTGAACATCTAAAAATTAATTTAGGATATGGCTGAAGTTTTTGGAGTGGTTCCATTTTACTTCATAAGAATATACTTGCCTCCTTGTATGAGTTATATTATGTTCTGAAAATTAAATGTCACAGGCATCCCCAGATTTGCTCCTGAAGGATTCTTCTTACCATAATAACAACAACAATAATAACACAAAATTAACCCACATATTTTAACTACTTGGATTTTAAAGCATTATTTGGTAGTAGAGATTGAATACTGCCATAAAGAAAGAATCCATAATTCACATCTAGAGAAGTTTAGTTGCACTGAGTTTGAATTACCAGCTGGCCATTTTTTAATAGAACTATCACAAATGACTATGTTGACATGCAACAAGAAGAATAAACTGTGTTGTTTATACTTCTACGAAATTAAAGGGGATGAAAGGTTCATTGGCCTCCACCAGGGGGGAGAGTTCACAACTCTGCAATTGTTGACTTAAAATGAGTGAGATTCCAATACTGAAGCTACTGCTTTTTCATAAGGAGAGAGGAAACTCAACTATTTAATGCATAAATGGGTGCAACAAATAGGCTGTTGTAAAAATTAAAAAAGGAGCTGATAAAGCAAGACTGTTACTGAATAGATCGCTTTTTAGTATTTATCTGACATACAAGAAATCTAATTAAAACCATGGAATATCTTACTTTCTCTTGATGATATCCTAGAAGAACATTTATAGAACTATAAATGAAATATGAATAAAAAGTTAATTACTGTATGAGCATCTGAATAACTGCAGATCACTGCTGTTCATTTTTAAAACCTTGAGTATAATAAATAAATATTTGAAATGTCTTCATAACTCAGTAGAGGTTTTTAAAAAGCTAAACATACAAAGAAAAGGTCAATTTCTTTCTGTTACCATGATAAATTAAGTAGAACCTAAATGCCTAGGGTATTAATAATCCTCAAAATCTGTCTTTTAAATATATGGTAAAGCAATCCTTCCAAATCCCTTCTACTTCAAAAGTGATTACCCCTTTACATTCTTAGATCACAATATATATTTCTTTGTAGTAGTTTGATAATACATTGCAAAATTTTTTTACATATTCATTGCTAGCACTGGGTGATGTCTTATTGTTCTGTTTCCTGACATGTAGTCTGGTGCCTAGTAGATGCTCAAGTAATAGCTCTCTTTTCCTCTCTCTTTTCTCCCCTCCTTTCCCTCCTTCCTCCCCTCTAGATATTAATTCATTATCCTAGGTCTATTCCCTAGAACTAAATTCCTTAGGCACTACCCAGATGTGCTTCTGAGAGTTAGATCTGCTATAGGTTCTCTATAATGTTTTTAATTGTCTGCAAATATTAAGGTGATATTCACCTTAAATAAAAGTAGGAGGGATAGATGGTATAATCAGAGGCACAGTTATGCTGAAGGCTTTGTTTAGTTTCCTTTTGAGTGATACAAAGTGCATGTGAACCCTTGAATATTTAAAAATGATTAAATGACTACTCTGGGGACAACAGGTTGTAATAGAGGAAGCAAAAGTAAAAGTCGATGTTAGCTCAGAAGCTTTCACGAATGTCCTATTGCCTGTTGGGGCAAACCAAAGCTTCGTAGTCTACCATCCAGGGATCTTAGTTTACTGGCCATAGCCAACTTACTGTACTCATAGACACTCTTAACTCCAATCACACAGCCATTTTATGAATACCTTGTCAGTGTCATTTGCACACATTACATCCTTAAGCCTAGTTGACATTATTCCCCCTCTTTCCTTATGAAAGTCTTACTCATTCTTAAACATTCAAAATAACAAGAGCTCATGAAGCTCTTCACAAACTCTTTAACAAAAATGATTAATCATCTGTTTACACCTGATTTCAGAAAAGATCTCTTTTTAACCTATAATTATCTTTCCTTGGACTTAGAATTATGCTATTTTTCATTTTGAACTTACAAATCACTCCTTCCTATCATTTTGTATTTGTATCTTCCATCAAATATATTCGAGATGTGTATTGAAAAATGTGAGAAAATATTCCTATATTAGCATTTGTATATTTTGAGATCACTTGTATGAAATATTTCACTTCAATGTTCATTCGAATGAATTGTTTTATGCTTAAGGCACAATGTATGATGGCTGCATAGTTCTGTTTCGTTACCACTATATACTTATTTTTGAGATTAAAGGTGAAGATTGCAAGTAGAATGAGATGATTATCAGTCTTTGAATAGTATATTGCACAGTTTCATACTGACCATTTATTTCAGATAAAAGCCAGTGATAAAATAAAGGTTTGCATCAGGAGACTGCTTTGGTGTCCTTTGCAGTTCAAAATTTAGGACTGCTTGTTATTCTTTGTAATTTCCTTTTAAAACTAAGTTCACAAAACAAGACCACACTAAAGCTACCATTCTGTTTTTATAATATATCATTGTATTTAATATAGAGATTTGGAGGAGAGAAGATATTGGTTTGAATTGGTACTCCACTCATTTCAAACTGTACTAAACTAGATATTTTTCTTCATTTTGCTTAGTTCACTGTCATCATCTGGGAATGAAGATTGGTGTGATCTCAAGTTACTGAGGAGATTAAATGTGTTGATACATGTAAACCACCCAATACTCCATCTAACAAGCCATAAGCACTCCCTCAAATATTAGCAAGATTTTCTGCATCAGCTCATTTATTTAGCAAGTGTCTGCTATGTGCCAGACACTCTGAGCTAATGAACAGAAGAGAGATGGTCCCTGTCCCCATGGAACTTTCTGATTGGCTTGAGGAGTTTTCTATAGAACAAGTACATTTTGCTTCCTTCTTTACCTATATTGGTTCAATGGAAGAATCTTTGTTCTTACAGAGTTAGCCTCCATTTTAGCATATAAAAGTATCAGTTTTCTACATTTTCTTGGCTTCTTTGAAAGGATATCATTTCAGTGCCATTCATTTTCTGCTACATGCTTGAATAATCTCCTCTGGCTTCCAGTCTCAAGTTCAGGGAGAATGGTCCTTTCCTTTTCTTCCCTCAAGCTTTGCCAGGAGAACAGTCGGTTACATATATAAAGAGTGGTTGAATGGCTGACTTAATTCCAAGATTGCTTTTGGAGGTACTTTCTCTTACAAGTGCCCAGGCTAGGTGTGGGGTTTAAACCTTTGGGATTTCTTCCAGTTGTCAACAGGAAGATCCAATCTGGTTTTAACACATATCTTACATCCTGTCTCATTATGATGATCACTCCCAATTACTTACAGCTGCTGCATATTATTTTCAGTCTTGGCAGTTTTCCCTTGTATTGCTCTAGTTTTTATTTTTAGGCAAGAGCAAATGTAACTGTGAAATATTTAGTCTTGGTACAATACCAATTACTTGCCTAGGCAGTTTCCCTAAATTACTCAGGCTTTAACTAAACTAGCTTTGAGTCATATTTTTAGAATTCTTCTTGCAATCTTTATAGGTAGATTAATTTCTTTCCACATTAATTCTGCTCCCCTAAGACAAAACTTGCCTCAACTTATATTTTCTTAGGAAGTTTACATCTTAATGGGATGGTGATGATTTATACCCAGACTAGATTTTATGCAAAAGAGAATGATTAATGTGCTCAAAAATAGAGAACATATTAGATACTGAAAAATTATGCACCACTGATTAGATCACATTGATATTATAACCCAGTATTACTAGATAGAGTAAGAGAAACTTAAATCTCCTTTGACCAATCTTCACATACCCTTTCCCTGCCCCCCACAAAGCCATTTACACTATCATCAGATACAGAGGCTATTTGGACACTGATTGCATTTCAGTGTTTTTCTCCTTGTTTTGAGGTAGATTTTCTCTGTATGACCCAGTCTGGCCTTAGACTCACAATCCTCCAGCCTCAGCCTGCTAAGTGCTGGGAATGTTGGCATGAGACACAATGCCTGTCTGTTTCACTTTTCTTTACCACTTAATTCTACCTCAACACGGAGTGAAGTTTAGGGGAGGTAAACAGCTGTGGACAGCACA